TATTTTTCATATGCATCTGTTTACATAAGAGATCGCTCGTTTCTCCGTCCTGTTCACGTGTGTTTTTGTTCGGGAGATTTTGTACTCGTTCAGATGTGTAATAACGCCCCGAGTGTATAACAGTGAAAACATGAAAAGCCGTAAAAACTCGTCTTTGGCGGGGAAGCGTTTTCTTCTAAAAGACGAGATAACTCATCAATGGATCATCAAAACCGGATCATCAGAGTGAAAGAGGGCATCACTAGGTCTCAGGACAGGTGTGCTCTTACCGCAGGGTGTTGTAGGAGTCGGGGAAGCCTGCCATCTCAGCGTCCTTCACTACAGTCCACTCAAACAGCAGACTGGCCAGAGTACTGAAGGTGTTTCCTGAAGACAGAAGGAGCAATACGTGACCCAGACGGCACATGAACGACATGACACAATCCTTCATCACTGCCAGAGTTATCCTGGAAGCCTAAATCAGTTTCATGTGTGCAGCGTGCAAACAGCAATGTTATAATAGTGTTATAATAGTTAATGGCAAACACTGTGCTCCTTTAACCCTTGAAGGCATTTCTGCCTCCCTGAAGGTGTTGTTTTTTCTGAGTGACTCCAAAACTGTAGCAAGGAGATGCAAAAGGTAGGTATCGTTTGATAAAGCAATAAGCCCCAAGAAGCCGTGGTTTACAGTGAATTTATAACAGCTAAGGGGCATTGTTTGGTTTGACGCGAAGCGGAGTAACCCCCTTAGCTGTTATAAATTCACTGTAAACCACAGTTTCATGGGGCTTATTGCTTTTATAAAACAGTTATTCCATATACGTAGTAAGGTTTCACAAAATAAAACAGAGCAAATAAAGTGTAATGATATTAATAAAAACAGTATTCTTCCACCAAACAATGTAGTTCCTCAGAAACAGTTGTGGTTCCAACAAAGTGGTTGCTGAGCAACACACAGAAGTAAACAAAGGTGTATGTTTGTAGAGTAATTTACAACAGCTTTGAGTGCGGCTCAGCCAATCAGAATCAAGCACCGGAACTCTGTTTTATAAGAACGTTTATGTAACCTTTAAATAACATTCTAAATCACGACAAGAAAACTGTATTATTAGGGAAAAAATGTCTTTACATGTGGACATTATCATGCTGAGAAATAAAAGTTTAAGAAAATTTAGTGCGTTCAAGGGAAATTTTACATATCTGTCTTATTTGGCGTTCAATAACTCTGGAAAGAAATAAGTTAGGAGAAAAATTATTTTTTGGTGATGTTCCCCAACAAGTGTGCTGTATGTGATTTAAATTGTGTGGTGATATCATGAAACAATCAAAAGTTACAGCATTTGGAACCAAGGTAGCCTTTTTCTTAGCCCTTGACAGTTTTGAAATTGTCAAAGCCCCAAACAATTATGCTTGTTTTATTCCACTCTGTGAGACCTTCCAAATGACATGACACATGACTATCTGAGCTGTATGATGTTTTTGACATATTAGAGTACAAGGCACAAAAAAACATTTCATAAATTATGAAAACATGTTTTCTATTTATCAGCAAATAACTCAGCACTACTTAGGAGTTAATCAAAGTGGCCACATGCACTGTAAAGTTCAGACTCTCAGCTCTCAACTTTCAAATGACACCTGTTTTGTGTTGATCAAGGCAGTGGTTTTAAAAAATATGATTATTCTTTTTTTCTTCTACACTGCTTAAGATAGGGATGCACCGAAATGAAAATTCTTGGCCGAAGCCGAAACGAACAAAATGAAACACTGGGCCGAAGGCCGAATACCGAACAGTTTTTTTTTTAGTTTTTCCCCCCATGTATTTTGCCCAAAAAAATTTCACCATTGCATAAATTAAATAGGCAAAATTTGATTTTTACCAAATAAATTATCAATTAAAAAACAACAATTTAAAAAATATTTAACACTGAACATTTTTTTACATTCTAGCAGACATTATACCAACAAAGCACAATTTAACTTAAAATTAATAAGTTAGTAAAATAATTTTTTTTTGCCATCAGACCCCCTTCTTGAATCAGGCATGTATTTTTTTACTGTACAAATAAAAGCAGCCTTGCTGAGAAGAGACTTCTTTTAAAACATCAGAAAATATTACAGATCCTAATTTGAACACTGTGTGTATGTTATAATAAATGTATTAACAGAGCTGTTGTAATTATTATTATCATTATTATTGTCTTTTAATTTTATTTCACAGAACCAGTAAAATTACAATACTAACATTTATTAATGTTGATCGAGTTCTTGCTTTTTCTCAACTTTTTGAAAAAAAAAAAAAAAGAGTTGATCAGAATGGTTTGATGTATTCGAAAGCTGAAATTCTAAGCTTTAAAATGATACCTAGTTATAAATACATATAAAAAAAAGTTATAAAAAAGATGTACACTCCGTTTTAGAGGGACAACTCAGCACTCGTTAAGAGTTGATCAAAATAACTACATTCATTGAGAAGCTGAGTTTTAAAAAAGCTTTAAAATGATACCCATTTAGTGTTTTTACATTCAGTGGTTGCTTAGTAATTTGATTATGAATCTTTTCATTGGTGGTTACACCTCGGGTTTAAAGGGTTAAAAAGGAAAATGATCTGATACTTTAGGTAATGTATTGTCCATGACAGAGAGTATACAAACAAAATATAATTCCAAGCAATGTAAAATTGGTGTCAAATATGTGACCCTGCACCACAAAATCAGTCTTAAGTCGCTGGGGTATATTTGTAGCAATAGCCAACAATACATTGTGTGGGTCAAAATTATAGATTTTTCTTTTATGCCAAAAATCATTAGGATATATGTAAAGATCATGTTCCATGAAGATATTTTGTAAATTTACTACCGTAAATATATCAGAACTTAATTTTTGATCAGTAATATGCATTGGTAAGAACTTCATTTGGACAACTTTAAAGATGATTTTCTCAATATTTAGATTTTTTTGCACCCTCAGATTCCAGATTTTCAAATAGTTGTATCTCGGCCAAATATTGTCCTATCATAACAAACCATACATCAATTGAAAGATTATTTATTCAGCTTTCAGATGATGTATAAATCTCAATTTCAGAAAATGTACCCTTATGACTGGTTTTGTGGTCCAGGGTCACATATGAGTAATAGTGAATATGCAGTGTTCATAAAACACAAACAGTAGGCAAAAAGTGCCCTCATCGCCGACTACATCCACTGAGACTCTGAAGTGCGCATCCATCAAAACTGACATAAATGACATTCAGTGAAGGGATGGAGTTCACCTTCTTACCATATTTAGCCAACACAAGCCTGGGCTTGCCATTCTCCAGCTCAAACAACAGGCCATCACTGCAAAACAAATCAACACACCTGAGAAGAGTAATGTTGCACTAACACTCTGTACAGTGTTAAAACCATGCCATTTTTAAATCTCAATTTCGAAAAACCCTTATGACTGGTTTTGTGGTCCAGGGTCACATACATGTTATTCTTTTAATAATGCTTTTTTTTCCCAGACAGACAGAAGTACATCAACTACTGAGCATGACTACAGCACACAGGTGATCTGAACACAAGTGTTGTTCACTTTCTGATATCCTTTCACATTCTCCATTTCATTTGAAAATGAAACAGATATAGCATAACACAACAAAATGATTTCCTTAAAGACGTTAAGTCCCCATAATCTTACTCACCCTCTGAATCCAGCGCATGGATCTTCAGCTCCAGCGGCGAATCCTCCAGATGAAGCTCTCGCGTGGTGGACTCGATCTGGATCTCGCTGATCACATCCACAATAGCGTCGCAGCGCAGCACCTGTCCGGTCACTGACACACACACCAGCAGCACAATCAGCAGCAGTTTGACCACAACTACTACTAACACAGCCAAACAACGAAATTAAATATTTATTTATTTGTGAAAAATGCTTTGGCTTCTAAAGGATAAGTATGTTTATTTTTCACAATTATTTTTAATCCATTTTCAAATGATTTCAAATTTCTTAAATATAAATTAAAATAAATAAAATTATATCCTGCTTTATCCTAATTATTACCCTGCTTGGCAAAAACCTTACATCGGCTGTCAAAAAACCCATATCGGTCGACCACTATTCGCAATACAATGAAAGTGAACGAAGGCTGGAGGCGTCAAGCTCAAATGACAAAAGAGCACCATTAGAGTTTCATTAAAGTAGCCTGTACAACTATATTCCAAGTCCTCCAAAGTCATACGACAGCTTTTTGTGAGGAACAGAGAGAAATCCATGTTATTATCCACAAACGTTCGAGTAAATGAGAGGAGCTGTGAAGAAATTGATGTTTTGAGTTGAGGTGGATCCAGCTCACAAACCCGGCCTGAATGAGCATTAAATGAGACTGATCCAGTTCTAATGTAGCGGTGCACAATTATCAATGAATAAAAATATATAAGTCACAAAGTTATCATATGATTTTAGATGGCTTTTAATATAGCACAGGACATTAGGACTATTTTTATACATTTATGTTGCTTTTGCACACCATTCCTGAAGCTCAAAAGCTCCAGTCTCAGCTCACTGTGAAGGACAGCCAGTAGATTCTACAGAACTTCTCTTTTTGTGTTCCAGAAGAAAGAAAGTCATATAGATGTGGAACAATATAAGAGTGAATAGATGATGACAATTAAAGTTTTGGGTAAACAAAAGTTTAAGTATAGGTAATAATGCAAATAACTGATATAAGAGTTGCCTATACAGTATCTCACAGAAGTGAGTACACCCCTCACATTTTTGTAAATATTTTATTATATCTTTTCATGTGACAACACTGAAGAAATGACACTTTGCTACAATGTAAAGTGTACAGCTTGTATAACAGTGTGAATTTGCTGTCCCCTCAAAATAACTCAACACACAGCCATTAATGTCTAAACCACTGGCCACTGAGGGGTGTACTCACTTCTGTGAGATACTGTATGGCATTGCCTTTGCAATTATCAATAATAAGATGATTACAAACGAACATCAAATGATGAAGCTACACCAGCAGTAAGAGGAGGAGTCAGCGGCACTCACAGATGTCCTCGGCGAGTATGATGCTGGTGAGTCTGGACGGCTGAGTGGAGCGCGCCTGCAGAACCGCTTTATGAGAGCACTGACGCTCATCCACATCCACTGCCTCGATACTGGCCACCTCCGGCCTGTTAGACGACCTGCGGAGACAACTCAGTGCTTTCACACCGCTTCCGGACACTGACCCTGGGCTCTGGAAAGGTATGCAGTCTGACAGGAAGCTACAGGGTTGTAACTCTGCATCCAGCCCATGCAGTTGTGTTTCCTTGGAAACTTGCAAGCACAGTGTAATTTACAAACTGATAATGAACTATATAAATAATGAACTGATATGAATTATGAGTGGGAGATGTAGCTGGGCAAAAAAAAGAGTGCAATACTGTTATAATAACATGCAACTCTTGTAGTTTGAACAGTAAAACGTTAATTTTCTAAACTACAAAGTATGCATATTTGCAAGACATTTGAAAAGTGCGCTCTGAGGTGCTACAGTAGATGAACCATCACACAACAGCACCACGTGCTTCAGCTTTCTGCATCCATCTTTACAGTAGCAATAGTTTTACTGGTACTTTATTAAAAATTCATAAGGTGAATGACATGTTCTTCCTGTACTTTACTTTCTCATTCGAACATGTTTGATGGAGGCAAGTTATTCTAGGTGTGCTTTAATACATTATTAATGTGGCAGTGTTTCTGAATGACTTGACAAGTATAATTCAATATTCAGTGCACTTACCATCGATAACATCCTTCAGTTGCTTCCAGTGTAAAATTGATCTTCGTGCTTCTGGCAAGAGGTAATAAAACCTTCGGTATATTGAGTTTGGCCGCGTCTGTCAAACTGCAGATGAAGGCAGATGTCAGAAGAAAGAGCACGTTCGCCGTCATCACAGATTAAGATGTGTCAAGTTATGCTTATGAGATGATTTGCAAGGTTTCTCCAGTAGCTTCATGCAGAATATCTAGCTCCCGCCACATCCATCAAAGCACGGAACACAGAGTGTCAGATGTGAGGAGCAGTGTATCCGACTGCAGCACGCGGCGCGAGCGGGGATATTACTTTCATTATTGCTTCTTCATCAATTCAGCGGTTCAGATTTTCACATAAGACCAAAACACGTGGATACTTGAAATATAAGTCCGAAAAACAGGCTAAAACTTTAAGCGGAACATGCAAAATAAAAGTATATTTTTTGAACACACATAGTAGCATGGAAATACCCGCCGTGTGTTACTATCGGTTACTATTGAAGCGCAGAAATGCATGCTGGGACATGCTCTCCGTCATTTTGAAACGAGTGACGACGAGTTTCCTTAAAGGCACACTGTACTCGAGCGCAGACACACTTGTTTTTTTCCTTTCTTTTTCTTTTTCTTTTTTTTTTTACATTAAAAAGTAACAAAATATAGGGAATACTATAAACAAACAAACAAATTAGTAAATTATTATTATTATTATTATTATTATTATTATTTGTCTCAGTTTAATTGAGTGATTGGTGATTTTTTTTTTTTGCAGACTACCAATTCACAAAACTGCTAAATAAAACTAGCCACACTAATGCATTCGGTTTGTCATGCACATAGATTACATTGTAAAATGCAAATGCAATTCAATGTGTTTGAAAGACAAAAGCCTTTCAAAGACAGTAAATATGGTTAAATAATTCACTGTGTGATAATTTGGGTAATAATTAAAACGCGTTTGTTATGAGTTCAGAAATAAGATATGCAATGTTGAGGAAATGGGCATGCGTCTAAATGCTTGTTTAGATGTGATATGGGAGAGTGGCATAAACCTCATGAGAAAAGAAGTGTACTCAAATGCAAGGCCGTAACCATGTCTTGAACATTGTGTGTGTGTGTGTGTGTGTGTGTGTTTGAGTGTGTGTGTGTGTGTGTGTGGGTGTGAGTGTGTGTGTGTGTCATCAAAAATGGCATTCTCTTCACCACATACTCTTCAACACACAGCCTCACTAACATGCACACACACACATAGTCCAGCACACATAAACACACATCACATACAAACACATTTAGAAGGTAAAATGCGAAAAAGGTATGTCACAAATTCAATAATACAATGTTTATAATATAAATAATTTTTAATAAGAGAAACCACCAGAATTTCTGCTTAAACTCAACTCAGAAGGTGGCCCATTTTAACTGAAATTAATGGCTCATTTTATCTTAACACATTCAGGTAAAATGGGCCAGTGACTAAAAATGCTTTTTTTATATAAAAATCTGGATTATTTAGCAAAATCAGCATTTTATCTAACAAGAGGCCATCAAGACATAGGTTATGAATCATTATTTCTAAATGTGCATTTATTTTTATATTTAGTCATTTATCAGATGCTTTTTATCCAAAGCGACTTACAAATGAGGACAACAGAAGCAATCAATTGTAGTATTAAAACAACTAAAAACAGATCCAAAACTAAAAGCTAAAACTTTATAAATACTACCTATACACATTTTAAAAATCAAAAACAGATCCAAAACTAAAAGCTAAAACTTTATAAATACTACCTATACACATTTTAAAAATAAAGAGATTAAATAAAAATGACAAATGCATACAACAAAATTTCAAAACTTAACATAAATGAAAAACAAAAAATAAACCTAAAAACAATTCAAAATATTAAAGAACAAAAGGTATAAGAGTATAATAATGATTCTAACATAACATTAAATTTAAATTAAAAAAAAAATTTACATAACACTAAGCCAAACACCAAAAAACCAACGTACATGTTTGTTTGTACGTTTGTATACATATATATATACAGTATATATATGTACATACACATTTATAAATTCAATATATATATATTATTTCATTTCCATTTAGTTTGTTGAAGTATTAAAATAACTCAAATTAAATAAAACTAAAAACCTAATAAAATACCTATACAGACATAATAAATTCAGACATAATGTAACTAAAATTAAAATAAATAACAAATACAAATAATACAAATCAAACGACAGTAGTTTATCAGTAATCCTAAAAAAAATAACACTGCCAAACTTACATGCTGAAAAAACAACAACTTACTGACACATAGTAAGACATGGTTATAAAAAACTGAAACAGAAGTGAAACAAGTAATAGGAAAGAGGAGAAATAAAAAGCGATACTTATTATTTTTTATTGATTTATCAACCTTGAGAAGTAAGATTGGATATGTCAGGCCACTCAGCTTGAGAAGATTGCTCAGGAGATTGTGACACATACTCTTTCCCCGTGTACTGAACATACCAGACACCATCTTCAGAGAAATTATCTCCTTTCCTCTGGTACGACGCTGTAGTTACTCCCACAGTCCAAGCTGAATTGTTTCCCACCTCCACGTCCCAGCAGTGTGTTCCTGATTTAAAGCCCTCCGAGCCCAAAACACAGCGAAAGAAGTCGAATCTCTCTGTATTATCAGGAAGCAGTGCTCTGGTTGTATGTCAGACTGCTCAGATCATCAGACAGGACCAGTTGTGGACTTGCAGTGTTCGGGTCCAGAACCACTGAAACAATCAGCAGCTGCTCTTATTTTAACAGAACGTTCACCATGAATACTAACTAAACAGAACTGCTGAGATGTCATCAGAGCTAGTATGATCCTCACTAACTACAAACCCTCAATTGATCTAGTTCTTGTGGGAAATCTCCACTATTTACAGCACAGATCTTTAGTTACTCACTGTTTTGGACAATGTCTTGCATCTTCCTCCAGACTCTGAGTGCCAGATCAACCAAAGCTCCACAGCAGCTCTCTGGATCGGGCCGAGTGCTCCGGGATCTAACATTCGGGTGTCAGTACAGCACTGAGTTTGGCTTCAGATTTGGCTCAGAATGCCATAAAAGAAGAATCATTTGAAGAACATAGCTACCTTTTCAACCAGGACAGTTCTCTGAACGGAAGCCATTCGTTCCTGCGAAAACTCTCCAGACTGTTACCAGTTCCTCAAGTAACCCCGCCATAAAAGAAATTGCTTTGATGCATTTGAAATATATACTGAACTTCCTTAAGAAAAAAACACAATAAGACATTTGAGAAACCCTGAAAAGGTTCCTAGAGGTTCTCCAAATGAGTTCTTCTGAAATAAAATGGTGCTTTTTGTTCTTCATACAGTGTAGAGAGGAGGGACAGGAGCAGCTCGCTTACCTTTCCTTTGTGACATTAAAGTTCTGGAAAATAAACATTATTATCTCAATAAGTGTGTGAATGAATGAATCTCACACAGAGTTTGACGGTCACCTTTAGAACGAGACGTCATTGGCTTTCATTCTGTCCTCGATGTCTCTGATGGTGTGTGAAAGAGCTGAGATGTGTCTGTTCATCTCCTCCAGCTTCTCCTTCATCATCTGCTGCTTCTGCTCCTCTTCCTCTCTCAGTGCAGAGATCGTAGCTTGTTCTTCATCTCTGAGAAACTGATGCAGCTTCTCAAACTGCTGTTTAATCTGACACTCTGTGTGCTCAGCTTGAGTCTGAAATCACATTCAGTTCAATCAGCTCTGCATTAACACACAACGGATGACTGCATTTCCATGATATCCAAGTCAGTGATCAGCTGTGCCTTGTGAAAAAAGAAGTGTGCTTCATTTTATTGCATGTACTTAAAACCTATTTTAAAAAAATGAATACTTGCATCTAATATATTATTGAAATAAAAGGCCTCTTAAGTGTACTTAAAGAGAGGCACTTTCATGACTGTTTCTTAAGTACACTCTTAAAAAGGACACTTTTTGTGATAAAAAAAAGTTCAGAATCTTTACTTTGATGTGTTGAACAGTTTTATTGCACTCTCCTTTAATCTCTTCTCTGTATTCAAGTTTTTCTCTTAAGGACTTCAGTGCTGTTTTAAGTTCCTCCTAGAATTTAACAAATAGAAATATGTGAAATTCAGTGAACTGTGAGGAGATTTGAATATGTGATACAGGCAAGTTCTTATACATAGTGTCACTCAGTAAGCGCAATGGTACTGAAAACCATAAGTAAATATTATTTATTTTCTCCTTGAAAGAAGAAAATGTAGTCCTACCGTGTAAGATGGAACAACTTCACTGATAGGCTGAAATGTGTGATTAGCATGTTTCTGTGAATCTCTGCACACTAGGCACACAGGCTCTTTGTCCTTCAGACAGAAGAGCTTGAGTTTCTCTCTGTGAGAACTGCAGACGTCCTCAGATGAGCTCTCTCTTCTGTCCCTCAGGAATGACTCGCATACGTTTTTTAAAGCAAGATTATACGGTGGTTCCTGTTTTGAGGATCTTCTCCTGCAGACGGGACACTCCTGAGTGTTTTTGCATTTCCAGAAATGTTCAAACACGCTTCACAGACACTGTGACTACAGGACAGAAGAACGGGAACCTTGAAGATTTCAAAGCACACGGGACAGGACAGTTCTTCCACAGACAGTGAATCCATGTTGGATTAGAAAGAGCTCAGTCCATCAAAACTGTACTTTCACTTTCTGAATGATGGTTTAAAAAAAAAAAACTTCAAAGCTGTGCTCGCTGCTCTATTCTGAGTCCTTTGACAAATAAACTTCTCAAAAATACTTTTTGAAAGGTTTTACTCTTCATTTCCTCATGCTTTTGTCCAGGACATGAGAAAACACTCAGTGTGACATAAGAGTGACATTATAAGACTGTCTCTTCCTGATGTCTGACGTGTATTTACTGCTCAGGCGTGATTTATTAGCATTTATTTTTCATTTTATTGGTATAATATTTAATCATCTTGTAAAGGAAACCTGATGCAGTAAATAAAGAATTGGGACAGAAACAGATACGCAATTCACACATTAAAGTAAAGGCTAAATAGTATGAGATATTTTATGCAAAGTTATAACTTCCACATCATTTATAAACAGGAGACTTGTCAAAACTTTTTGTACTCCAGATTTATTTATTTATTTATTATTCAATTTTTGTACATACACAAACCTTAGTTAAAGTCTTGACTACCAAAAAAGCTTTTTAACATTTCCACCCTTACAGTCCAATCAATATTGGAAAGATAAAGTACTCTGACCAAAGGTTGTTATTACCTTTGCTAATATTATGCCCCAATAGCAGGGCATGTTGTCACATTTTATGATATACTTTTTTTACAGTGGAAACTTGTAATAAATTGCATATTATATTTAATGGTGTTTAAGGGAACTTCAACAAATATAAATAAACAAATAACAAACAAACAACTAAATGTTATGAAAATATATTTTTAGCTGTTATTAAATAAACTGTATAAAAAAAAAACAGTTTTCCCAGTC